AACCTTTCAATCAGTTTAATTGAGGTCTGGAGCTGGCATGTCGGTAACTGCCAGTAGTCCTTAAAGGCTTTGTTAATTTATGTTGATCATTGTCATTTTGCTTAGTTTCTTCTGTTACCTATTCTAACATCGGACGCGGACTTCTTTTAAACTGAGTTTTACTGTGCGTTATGCTGTGCATGTGTTTGTTATTCAACATTGGCTAGAGGTATAGGGGGAGGGTTGAGATCTCACAAAACATGTTTAACAGGGGCGGGTCCAGGTGTGGGCGTAATGGGCCTACGCCCTCCTTTTAAAAAAAACAAAAAAAAACTATCGTAATCTGCTAATATTGTATTGACTATGGCAATTTAGCATATTCATTAATTAAACACATACTCTGAAAAAGGTTCTAATGAATCCACTCTAGTCTAACCATTCATTGAAAATGAGAGTCCGTCAGTATTTCTGTATTTATTTTAGGTTTTGCGTTAAGGTACATTTATACTAGTAACATATATATTTGGTATAGCATTTTTACTTCCCATCTGGATAGCCTTTGGTAGTATCATATTGTTTCAATATCCATTAGTGAGTAACTGAGTGACATTGACCTACATTTTGCCATGAAGTTCAAGCACCATATTTATTTATGTGCCACATACAACCTATCGGAACTAGACAGTGACATGATTGCTTTAATTTAGTACTGTAGTACAATGACGTCAATTTTTCATATTCAATCATGTATTCCACATTAAAGCCTACAATATTTAGAACGGAAGAACTTTATACTTCAGTGTTTGTTTGTCTTGTATCTTATGTATGTCGTTCAACGAAACCAGAACTTAATCTAGAATAGAGAGATATTTATCAGTCTGGTTACTTCATAATTGGATGCTAAATTGTTGAAATCCAGGAGCTTCTGAGCCTCCCATGCATGGACCCTCTACCAGGGCAACCGTAATTTCGCCTCCCGTTCATAAAATCCTGGCCTAGGACTATTGAAATGTTAAGTAACGCCTTATACCCTAGAATTTGGAATTTCTCGTTATTGGTCTACTGCAGCAGCTGTTAAGATCCATCCAATCATTTTAATATACCATAGACAATTAATGGAGAGAATTCGGCATAAAAAATGTCAAACCCTGGCACTTTATATATAACTATAAAATATATATGCTCCAAGTCAGGAACCGTTCATACACAAGAATTGCGGACAGCTCAGCTGGATGGCTTTATCAGCTACCACACAGAGAACCGTAATCATTGAAATTTTTTTAACGTTATTGTCTATGGGGGAATTATGACCACTAGATAAATAAACGAAAACTATGTCTATTTTATAAATCTCATATAAAATTAATAAATTATAGAGATTTCACCAATTTTTTAGCTTTGAAATGGTGTAATAAAATCCACTTTATCTTGATATTTACTGTTGTCCCTATCATGTTGAACGTCGGGTTCTCTTCTGTTTGAGATATGTCAAATTACGAGGTATACATGTTTTATAAAAAAAATCATATTAAATTCATTTTTTATTGTAAATCAAATTAACAAATTATACAGTATTGGCAAATAATTTTGCTATCAAATGGTATAAGAATCGTCATTTTAAAATAATGTTTACTGTTGTCCCTAAGCATTTGAAAGTGAAACTTAATTATTTATGAATACGACGTATATTCATTCAACTAAGATTGACCGTATTCAAAGACAAATTGGTCTTGTTATTTAGTTGAATTCTCATTTTTATGATGTGAACTTCTTTTCTAATTACATCTATATCATTTTAAATATCTAGTTAGGTTTTAAACAATATATTAATTTCTGTTATACCAAAGAGTTCTTTAAACATCAAAATTTTAAAAGTAGTGTGGTTTTGTTGACATCTTGAAGAAAAATATGCAAAAAGTTTTTTTTTTCTTTTTTTTTTAAAGGCTCTGTCTAATTAATCTTATTTTGATTTGAGTAATTTTATGATTATTATCAAATATTTGAATACACAATTGCATGATTGTATTATTGAAAAAAAAATGTCTACGAAATCTGAAAAAAAAGTAAATTGAAATAGAAAAGAGATGGCAACGTGCAATTATTAATGTTATTCAAAACATGCAAAATTTTATACAAGTTTTGTATAATGAAAAGGTAGCCCATTTAATTACTTTTAGGGAATATTATTCTTATCATTATAAGAAATGATCAAAGAAGTAAATGCAAGTATTATTAGTGACATTAGTGCATTTCACAATTATTTTATGTTTTTTAGCAAAAAAAAAGTTAAAAAAAATTTTCCGGGTGCGGGATTTTATCGCTGTGTTGAAGACCCATTGGTGGCCTTGGGCTGTTTTCTGCTCTTTGGTCGGGTTGTTGTCTCCTTGACACATTCCCCGTTTCCATTCTCAATTTTATTTTATGGTATATATAATTTTCATCTTTAATACGATGAAATTCTAATCATGAACACTTTCAATTGAGGTTAATTGAAAATTTACTAGTTGTTTTTATAAAAGTGTAAATATCAGTTAAAATCGTCCTGAACATACATGAAATATTTGCCACTGGATGTAATTTAAGCAAACATTTAGTCAAGTTTATTTAAAGAATACCAATATCCTATCAAACTTTAACTGTGAGATATGCATGTTCTTTTTATGCATTTATTTCAACAAATAACTTTCTTGGTGCTATACGTGTCTACATGTCGTTTCTCTATAGGGAAAAACAGTAGTATTTTTTCCGCCACAGGCGACTAGAGCTCCGATAGGCGTCAATACTAAAATTATCTAAATTTACCACTTTTTTAATAATAAAGACCTTGACAAAACAGCTGTGTATGATATTAGTACTTTACTGTCTTAGAAATTGAAGGCAAATAGTGGCTCGACCATCATCGAAAGGAGCTTGTTTATAGTATGCATGGCCACGGTCATTTTACATGAAATTTATGACAGTTTAGAAGCCTTTTTAATTAATAACTGCAGTGTGTATATTTACAATATGAATTTTGAAACAAGTGGAAATATTTTCTTGATAATTATTCAAATTATCAAGAAAATATTTCCATTTGTTTCAAAATTCATATTGTAAATATACACACTGCAGTTATTAATGAATAAATATAAAAATATATTATACCCTTACATCCAATCCTGCCTTATGACATTTGGTACACAAAAGGCCAACCTAAAGCCAGGGTAATGTATTACTACTTCCTTCTCTCCTCCTCCCATATTTCTTAACTGTGACTGGTGTTTTATTGTGAATTTCAGCACTATTTCGTGGCGGTAAGTTCATATTGGCGGAGGAAGCCGAAGAGAATCATCGACCGTCCGTAGGAAAACTGACAATTCCAGTCAATTAAGATTGGTGTAGAATGCACCTGCAACGTGCGGGATTCGAACCCACAACCAGTGTTGACAAGTTAGTGATACAGTATCAATGTCTAATGACGGAGATGCCGCTGTGCAAAGTGAGCTATGGAGATTTCTAAATCTTTTGGCAAGTGTATTTCTCCACTGAACAGGCATTTTTCTATCCATTGTAATTTTAACACCGGTTTTCAGCATATGACATGTAGTTACTTATCATCTAGCTGTCAACTTTAATTACATTAACAAGTATGACATAAACTATACTTTGTACTCAACTGGGGACATTTTTGGACTGTCGAATCTTCCAGTACTATGCATAGCAAATACCAACTTCAGTAAAAAAAAATATCTGTGGTTAACCTCTGAATTGTTACGGTAGATTGGATGAAAAACCCATATATTTTTTCCATCGATTTTACTAATGAATCAATCTCTTTGAAAGGGACAATTCAGAAGGTTTTTTTCAGATTTTACTTATATCAGTTTTCTATCATTTCAACTTCAGATGATCCATCAACCAATGACATTTTTAGTAGTCCTGTTTTGTAGGTTTCCAAAAACATTCTATCATAAAATCCCATTGGTTTTTTTCTGTGTATTGTAACTAGCGAGTGTACTGCTTGGCAAGTGAATAATGGCAGCAATTTCAAAAAAAATCAGTTTAAAGTTTCAGAGCCCTCTAAAGAACTTGTCTAGAATTTGGTTTCAATAGGGTAAACAATTATTGAAAGAAATTTGGACCATCTCATCTGACCCTTTTTAGCCAAATTTGATTTTATTTAACAACCCATTTAAATTTTAAATCCAGCCCTTTTATTTACAAGTCATGTCAAACACCTTCATAGGAACATTTTATTGTTATTTTTGTTCCAAGTCAGGTGATTCTATATGTGCATGTCGTCCAAAGTCAGGAGCCTGCAATTCAGTGGTTGACGTTTGTTGTTATAAATCAATTGTTTTGTTCATAAATCAGGCCGTTAGGTTACCTCTTTGAATTATTTTACTTTTTTTTTTTAGTTTTTTAAATTGATAAATCGCTTTATTCACATTTCCTGTGTTATACAATATCCCTAAGCAGCCCAGGAAAGCAGATTTAGGGAGCCGTGTTTTACAATTGTTATTTTAAGGACTTTAATAGCTTGCTGTTTGGTATGGGTTATGATCATTGAAGGCCGTACAGTGACATATAGTTGCTAACTTCTAAGTCATTTGGTCTTTGGTGGAGAGTTCTCTCATTGGAAATCATACCACATCTCCTTCATTTTATATTTATATTATCTGTCAAGTTTTGTTCGAATTGATGTCTTGAGGAATTTTTCAAGGTATAAACAAACAGACACTTGAAGTAAGACATGGCAACCAAAAGCCATCCATATTTGCAAATTAAGCAGTACCCAAATTAAAACACTTGATAAGGACATTGTAAGGAACATTTCTGCTGAGGCTGGTTATTTTTTTCTGTTCCAACCATTCTAAAGAGGCTAAGAAATTGTTAAACTGTTTATGTCTTGTATTTGATGTAAAGTAGACATATTCTTTCTTGTTTCCTGATGGATAGTTGTCTCATTGGCAATTAAAATGCACCTCATTATTTTAATATTGTATAATACATTATGCTAGTTTAAAAAAGTTGACAATCAGTTTTTATCCATTAACCTTTATTTGATACACAACAACTGAATATTAGAAATAAAATTTGGAGAATGTCACAATCATCATACATAAAATCTTGGACTAATCAAGCTAAACTCATCATGCAAATAAGTTATCCTTTCTGACTCTTTAATCTCTCCAGTATTTGGTCAATAAAATATTAAGTAGTATTTACATTAAAACTGCACAGATAAAACACATAGGATTTCAGTATTTGGTTTGAACATACTTTTCACACCTGACATCAGAATGATCATCTATAGTAGCTTCACTAGAATCTCAGATTAGCACATAACACAAAACTGTCTTACAACAACCAGAATGAATATCTCCATTCTACAACTGATTTATTTGCTTTTTCCCTGACTTTTCAGATGTTTTCAGCTAAATAAAATGCTCAATATCAACCTGTTCTTACAACATAAGAAAACCACTAACTGCTAAATGTAAATATGGCAAGTAATTTTTAGGATTCCATAATCCCTGTGACTTAGTATTAATGAAAACTAAAAACATGTACAAGAAAATAAATATATAAATCTTATTACTCTAGTGCATTTATTAATTACATTCATTTTGAGCACTTCAGAAAATAAATATTCATTTCAAATAAATATCCATCAATTCAGTACATCATAGAAAACTGAAAACTACCTGCCATAGTTTATATGAATAATATCAGTCTAATTCTACAAGCAAAGTTTATAAACATGTTTGTACATTACTGTTTGAGGTTTACATCAGTAACTTCCTACAGAGCATACAAATCAACTAGATCATCCTTATAGTAGCACTTGTGAAAATAAAATGAACACAATATATTTTTATTCAAAATTACAAGTCATTTAGATATGGAGATCTACCAATAGTAAAAATACTATAGAAATTTCTTGATGCAGGTGTGATATTTGTTTGATGAACACAGTAGTCATGGAATGCTTATAAACTTGTCAGAAAGTCATAACTTACCACAAAACGTCTAGCTTACAAACAACTACAAATACTCAAAATTTTGGATGATCATTTATTTTAATACAATTCAAAAGCATGCTACGAGCACAATATGTATGTCATGTCAAAAATGGATCACTTTATAGATAAAAGCTGCCGATCCTCAGTACCTTACATAGACTTTGGCAATCTTTAACATGATAATTGGTCAATTAAAAGCTGGAAAATATAAATGGAATTACAAAGTGTTCACATGGTTAATCTTCTATCACTGTACCACAAGCAGGTACAATCACAATATGCTATAACACAACATCTTGCCATTATAAGATCCTTATCACAATGTACAAAAAATCTAAAATGCTGCGACATATTTCTGGCAGAGTTCCAGATCCTATGTTTTGATATAATGCCTCAACAATTATGCTTAAGATATGGAAACGACCTGACAGCAGTTAGCGAGACTTCTCCTCGTAAACTGAGGTAGGCACAGTGTCGTTTGGGGGTGGGCGTCTAGCACTACAAGTGGAATCACAGTCACCCACAGATGATTGGTGGACAATATCACAGTAGTTTGTTTACACATCTTAAAAATAAACATCAATATACTTATATCTATTATTTTTTTTTATACTTTTTTACTTTTTTTTTTTTTTTTACATTATTATAATACACATGGCATTTTGAGAAGTCTTGACATAAATAAAACAATGAGGTTGTGTGCACACTTAAATACACCCTTCAATAAATTAGAGTTGTTAGGTGGAGGTTATCATGACCAAGCCCACCTGACAAGAACAAGGAATTATGAAAGACTAAAATACTTCATTGGAAGTAATGAAAAAATAAAATGTGCTGTGCTTCTTGGAAGCATTGAGCACCAAAGTATTTGCATCGTTGGGGGCTGGTCCGTATCTCTGACCTAACAACTCAGAACACATTGGTTAACAAATGGAATACTGTATCCGCCCCACAATTAACCCGCTTTTATATAGAGATCACGAGGCAGTCACATAGACTCCCCCAACATATTGCCGAGCAGAGAGTTGGCATTGTGGTCGTCACCTCCCCAAAGACCACTTCCACCATTACCCCACATTCCCCCCGAATTGTAATTATTGGCCATATGGTTAGCCTGAGCTGGTTGATTCCATGAATCATTGCAAACACCCATGCTGTTTTGGCGATACGCAGAATTATTAGGCTGCTGTGACTGCCACTGACTAGATGACTGGGCTGTCATGGCAAATCTAGCCGCTTCATTGTCGGACACAAAATCAGCTACTATGGTTGTGTTTCCTAATACACATGTGTTGAGCGATTTTTGTGCTTTGAATGCTTCTTCCTTTGAGTGGTATCTGACTAAGGCTTGGCCATTGTTCAAACTAAGATAAAACCACACTAGAGGACCATGTTGCATGCAGAGGGTCCTTAATGTTGATCCATCTATCTGTAAAATGAAATAATATTTGTTAGTATTTGCCTATTCAAACAGAATTTAAGAGTAATTGTCATTATTATAATTCCTGTTATTTTCCTTTTTACAATTTTCTCTCATAATCACAGTCATTAAGCAAACACGAATGAATCAATGAATCAAATCATAATCACAGGTTTAAACAACAGAACAATACAACATGGTAGTGTTAAAAGTCGATAAGTCAACGATTAAGAATCTTGTTATATATGTCTCTTTCTACGAGTTTAAACCTCAAATCTGTAATGGTAAAAAAGATAAAGCAAAATCAACCCTTATAATCAGTAAACAATTAGAAAGTCAAATGTGGATGTGACCATTTCTTTTCATAATAATATTTACCAGGAAATATCTTATGTAAACCGTTTTCAATTCAACATTTTCTCTTCACTACTTTTAAATAAATTTTACATGGTTCAGGTTATGCATACATTTTGATATTTCAAACATACACTATAAACCTCATGTTTATCTATTTCTGATAAAAGCTGTTTCTAAATTTAAACAAGAATTCTGAAAGTATTGCATGGCAATACATAGTCCCCTACCCATTAAAAATTTATTGTATTGGAACAAAATGCTAACTTGATCTGTAATTTGTCATGATAAAACTATATAACAATTATCAAATCAATATCTTACAGCATGACAAATTTTTTTTTGGGAAAATTGATTATTTGAGTGAATTTTCTAAGTCCAAGAACCATAACTCTGGATAGTATCATCAGACTGGAACAAAATTCGAACTTGATCTGTAACTTGTCATGATAAAACTATATACCAAATATCAAATCAATATCTTCAAGCACGAAGAAAAAAAGTGGAAAGCTGATTTGCTGGACAGTCCGATGGACAGACAGACGGAGTGCAAACGTAAAGTCCTCTTCCACTTTGTCGGTAGGGGACTAAAAAAGGCCAACTTACCTGAGGTGTGAGATTTTTCAGGATTAAACAAGGAGTGATATTGTTTGACATCCTTGCATCCCAGTTTGACATGTTCCCTGTAAAAATTAAAAAAAAAAATGTTACAATTTAAAAATTCATAAGGGTTCTGCGGAACCCAGTGTCTCGCCTACTTTTTCTGTTAATGGCAGGCTCAACAAAAATGATGAAGTAAATCAATAAAAATATTCCTGTTGATACTATCTTCTGATTGTAAGAAGCTTCTGTCCAAGTTTGGTAAAAATCCAGGATAGTTTATGAATCTAATAAATGTTAAAAAACTGTAACTGCAGACTGAATGTAATATTAACTGGAAGAAAACAAAATTTCCTTCTAGATACTAGCATTTGATCATAAACAAGCTTCTGTCCAAGTTTGGTACAAATCCAAAATAGTATAAGAAAGTTTTTAAATTTTAAAAACTTTAACCACATAGTGAATGTGTTGTTTCCTGGCAGAAAATCTAAGTCCATTTAAAAGTAAAATACGGAAAAAATGGATTTATTTTTTTACAAAATTTCCTTCTAGATACTAGCTTTTGATCATAAACAAGCTTCTGTCCAAATTTGGTACAAATCCAAAATAGTATAAGAAAGCTATTAAAATTTTAAAAACTTTAACCACAGAGTGAATGTGTTGTTTCCTGGCAGAAAATCTAAGTCCATTTAAAAGTAAAATAAGGAAAAAATGGATTTTTTTTTTTACAAAATTTACTTCTGGATACTATCTTATGATTATAAACAAGCTTCTGTCCAAGTTTGGTAGAAATCCAGGATAGTTTAAGAAAGTTATTAAAATTTTAAAAACTTTAACCACAGAGTGAATGTAATATTTCCCGGCAGAAAAACTAAGTCCATTTATAAGTAAAATACGGAAAAAATGGAATTTTATTTTTACAAAATTTACTTCTGGATACTATCTTATGATCATAAACAAGCTTCTGTCCAAGTTTGGTAGAAATCTAGGATAGTTTAAGAAAGTAATTAAAATTCCAAAAACTTTAACCACAGAGTGAATATTTGTGGACGCCGCCGACGGAATGTAGGATCGCTATGTCTCGCTTTTTCGACTAAAGTCGAAGGCTCGACAAAAACCACATAATCAAACTGTTATTAACAAATTAATACCTGAAAATAATTGCTGTGTACCAAAATTGTTTAGTCATAATATGGATATTTCTGGTTTAATACTATTGAAATACACACTACTGTCACTTTTTTTAGTAAACAATTCAAAACAAGCAGGTCAATGTGATTTATAAGATTTATCTATTCATTTTGTTAGTGTTTAATTACCAATTCCACTTTCCAAGCTGAAAATCTGTGGCACTTATTAAGTTGCTAGGGTTAAGGCAAGAGAAGTTACAAATAAATCTTGTTTGACTTGACTATACACATGCATCATTTATTCACACACGATCTTATCTAAGAAATAAACCACCACATTATAAAACTAAATAAATTTTCCATTTGGTTTTGTATCATAACAAGACTAAACACCTGACGACCAAGGCATTATTCTAAAAGGCTGTTTTCTTGTATAAACCGACTTGTACAACTTATCAATCCATATTTTTAGCAATGCAATTGAATAAGGCTGGTAATTTTATCAAAAAAATATATTGATGCTATATCTTACTGATATAATATATTGTGCTGCCAATATTTACCCTGAAGAGTAAATTTTTATGTTATTTGTGACTAATACTTGATAATGTGCTTGTTTAATCAAATTAACTCCAAATGAGAAATTCTGTCAGCTGCTTGAAGAGAAATTAACATTTTTAATTTACCTGAATTGAAAGAAGATGGGTCAGTTCTGGTTCCTGCCCAGGAATGTTGACGATTAACACCAGACCAGTTGTTAGGCTTCAGACCTGGTGGTGGACGCTGCTGCATGGCACTGTTCTTTGGTAATGGCACACCCCATACTTCGTTGGAGAAAGACGTTGGAGTCATGGAATCGCCGCCACTCCACGACTTCTGGGACATATTCTTAGGATTAATAGGCGGGAGGGACTCACTTGGACTGGTTTTAGTGATTAATGATCCTAAAGAATCATCTCTGATGGTATTGACACTTAGACTGAGAGAACGGGAGAAGCTTCCTGGCGTGATATGTGGATCATCCTCAACACTCTTTTGAGTAATTCCTGGCCAAGGTTTACCAGGTACAAATTCTGGTATTGCATCATTAATAGTGAGAGAAGATGATGTAGATGGTAAGTGAGATTCTTTAATATCTTTCCCATTCTCGTCAATAGATGTGGTGCCAGTTGATGTGACACTGATTGTAGGCCAACTCTGAGAGGCAGATGTAGTTGCTGGCACATTGGACCAGGTGGAATCTCCTCCAAGTTGGGTCAGACCAAGACCACCATACTGAAGACTGGACTGTGATGAGGCCTGGCTAGTTTTGGACGAGCCTGGGGCCTTGTTTAAAGCACTATATTCTGTATTAGCACCAGAATCTGGACTGGACTCTTTTTCTGTGGGTTTCTTCCACTGACTAAGTTTAGATTGTTGAGGTTGACTGTTGGTCATGTTGAGATTTGAGAGACTGGACTCTATAGTGGAGATGGCATCCTCCGTTGATGATTGTGAAGTTGCTGTTGGTTGAGGTTTAATAAGAAGACGTTGAGCATCATGGATTTGACGTTGGGTTATAAGAATTTGTTGTTTGATCGTATTAATTTTCATATTGACCTGTTCAAGTTGTTGACGTTGAACCATTGGGTTCATAGAGACACTGTTCTTTTGAAGGACTTGTTGGGTAGTGATTAGCTGTTGTAGACACTGCTGATGCTGTAGTAACTGCTGGAGTAGAACCAACATATACGGAGGCAATTGCTGGTTGAGAAGTTGTGGACTGATTAATCCTGCCTTAACGGCAAGGTGTAACTGCTGGAGAATCTGTTGTTGGGCCATTTGTTGTGCGACAGCCTGAGCTCGACCAGCGGCAGGCTTTTTGTTTTGTTGCGGAGGCATAATACTAGTTTGACTAGAGACTGGCTGACTAGGTCCCTTGAACGCTTGAGCATTTGGTGGAGGAAAAGGAGTATTTGGATTAGGCACAAATGGATTGTTTTCCTGCTGAGTATCTGATATGTCATTATCACTTATCACTTTGGACTTGGCACTTTCCAGTAATACATCATCTCTATAAGTAGCACCTTTTTGCTTGTAAAGTTCAGCTGAAAATACATTTTTCTAAGTAACAATCATATTATATATATGAACCAATATGTAATATCACTTTACCCTTTCATACAGTTGATTTTTATCAAAAACTGAAAATGCATCATTTGATTACTTACCATTCAATGAGCTATAACACACACACATACTTAGTAGAACTAAGGATTGTTGGTTATGAGACCCAATAATCAAGAATCAAAAGCAAGGACAATAAACTGTTGTGCATTAACTATATCCACAAGATACCAAAGTACAAACTAATTATTTTCTCTATCAACACAAATTTACTGTTGAATATTTCACAGATAAAAAAATTTAAAGCAATTTTTCAAGGTATTTTTTTCCCATGCTTATACTTATTCATTCTGAATATTTTCAAAATTAACATTTGTTCAATAATGCTGTATAATTAATATTAAACATTATTCCTTCAGAATTAATAAAATGCTCTGCTGGGCGCAGCTTGATATGACCGCAGAGGTCGAACCCTGAACAGTTGGGGCAAGTATGGACACAACATTCAAGCTTGATATTTGAATTGTGATTAAATATTTGACACAGCATAGGTTTCTGACACAGAATGAATGTGGTCTAAGAACTTAAAAAATTTTAATTAAACTATTCAAACCATATCATTATTATTTGCTTTTATATATAAATCATAAATAACCAATTTAAAATGGTAAATTTTAAAGAAGAAAAAAAGGATAAAAAGGAAAAAAAAATCCCCCCCCCAACAATTTTTTTGAACCCCCTAAATCACCCCCAAACTCAATCCCAGCCTTCCCTTTGTGGTATGGTACCTTGCAGTACAATTTCAGAGAGATCCATACACTTGAACACAAGTTATTGTCTGGAAACTAGAAAAATGCTAGTTTTTTGGGCCCAAATCCCTAAACATTTAGGGCAATTACCCCCAAACTCAAACCCAGCTTTCCCTTTGTGATATGGAACCTTGAAGTACAATTTCATAAAGATCCATACACTAACACACAAGTTATTGTCCTGAAACTAGAACAAGAGTGCACACGCTGAAATGTCTCGCCTTCTTTACTAATCATTGATATTATGTTGATAGTCCTAAATATAAAGCTTTATTACAACTGTCACATAAACTTAACATTAACCAAGTAAAGTAAACATTGACCAATGAACCATGAAAATGAGGTCAAGGTCAGATGAACCATGCTAGGCAGGCATGTACAGCTAACAATTCTTCCATACAACAAATATAGTTGACCTATTGCTTATAGTTTAAGAAAAACAGACGAAAACACAAAAACTTAACACTGAGCAATGAACCTTGAAAATGAGGTCAAGGTCAAATAAAACCTGTGTGACTGACATATAGATCATAAAATATTTCCATACACCAAATATAGTTGAACTATTGCATATAGTATTAGAAAAAAAGACCAAAACTCAAAAACTTAACTTTGACCACTGAACCATGAAAATGAGGTCAAGGTAAGATGACACCTGCCAGCTAGACATGTACACCTTACAATCATTCCATACACCAAATATAGCTGACCTATTGCATGCAGTATTAGAAAAATAGACCAAAACTCAAAAACTTAACTTTGACCACTGAACCATGAAAATGAGGTCAAGGTCAGATGACACCTGCCAGCTAGACATGTACACCTTACAATCAGGGCCTAATCTAGGATTTTGAAGAGGGAGAAGTGACTTCTCCTTCCAAGAGAGAGAAGGGAGAAGTTGTCAATTTCTTGGAGAAGTGAGATTCCATTACCGTTTCGGTTGCATCGTGTTTTCATGCTTATCACTAACTAAGTTAAAGGAAATTGTTTTATATTCAATAAAAGATATACTTGCAGTTTTTTCATATGTTATTGTACACAATGTATATATAGAAAGTTCTTAATAAAAAGGTTTAGACAATATATAGTTGTTATTTATTTATTGATACCATTGTGTTCTAAATAAAATTTGTTGATTGGGACATGAGGGAGTAGCCTAGTAATATTATCATGATTATGATGCATTAAATTCATGTGCAACTGCCTCAATTTATTTAAGTCCAGAAAAAATATAACTCCCAGTTTTCCTGTTGAATTTCACATGACTGGGAATTTAATTTATATCACCACTTGTCATTATTTTGTAAAACATTATTGAATGTCCAGGACCGTGATTTTATAGGTTAGTTGTAAATTGAGATTATCGTTAAAGATTGTAAGTCTATAAATGAAAATATTTTTCAATCGCATATTAATTATCCGACAAAGAGCTAATTTCTATTTTTTTTAAAATATCATCCATATCAACGAAATGGTCGTGAGAAACAATCCACTGCTGATCACAACCTGGTCGAGTGTCGTACGTTTGCCATCACATTATCCATCAGCAGTCTTTCTATCTTTTATATTTCAATTTCTATTCAATCAATATAATAAATCTACCGTTAATTCCAACCTTTTACCTACCGAATAGTAAAATTGATCGACTCGTGTAAGTTGTAAAAATAAAACAAATCAGCTGAGTGATTACGCAACATCCTCAGATGAAAATTATCGTAAAATGATAACTTAAACAGACGGTCAGTTTTCCGTTTGAACAGTTTTGAAAGTTATATCCGAGGATGTTCAAAGTCGCCGTTGTATTTATCTAATTTGATCGTTGACAGTATTAGTCCTGGGTCGTTTCGAAAATCTCGATTTTCCTTGTCAGCCGCCATTTTTTTTACCTGTGAGACTTGTCAATCACAAGTTGTCTCCCTTTTACCGATTTTGATAGCGATTTGACTTCGCTATGAAGTCAGTCGGCCGGCGAGATTTAGCGATTTTCAAAATTCTTTGGCGACTTAAATCGTCATTTCGCCGGCAAGATTATGGCCTGCTTACAATCATTCCATTCACAAAATATAGTAGACCTATTGCATACAGTATAAGAAAAACAGACCAAAACACAAAAACTTAACTATAACCACTGAACCATGAAAATGAGGTCAAGGTCAGATGACACCTGCCAGTTGGACATGTACACCTTACAGTCCTTCCATACACCGAATATACTAGACCTATTGCTTATAGTATCTGAGATATGGACTTGACCACGAAAACTTAACCTTGTTCACTGATCCATGAAATGAGGTCGAGGTCAAGTGAAAACTGTCTGACGGGCATGAGGACCTTGCAAGGTACGCACATACCAAATATAGTTATCCTATTACTTATAATAAGAGAGAATTTAACATTACAAAAAATCTGAACTTTTTTTTCAAGTAGTCACTGAACCATAAAAATGAGGTCAAGGACATTGGACATGTGACTGACGGAAACTTCGTAACATGAGGCATCCATATACAAAGTATGAAGCATCCAGGTCTTCCATCTTCTAAAATATAAAGCTTTTAAGAAGTTAGCTAACGCCGCCGCCGCCGGATCGCTATCCCTATGTCGAGCTTTCTGCGACAAAAGTCGCAGGCTCGACAAAAATGCTTGTTTTTTGCCCCTTTTTGGTCCCCAATTCCTAAAATTTTGAGGCAATTACCCCGAAAATCAATCCCAGCCTTCCCTTTGTGGTATGTTACCTTGCAGTACAATTTCAGAGAGATCCATACACTTGAACACAAGTTATTGTCTGGAAACTAGAATATAATTTCTTGCAAGTTGGTGAAAGCATTCTCGACTTATTGTCCGAAAACTGGAAAATCCCCCCTTTTTTTAATGAATAAAACCCCATAACTTAGAAACCTAAAATCTAAATTTTATAAAAAACGAAAGGGAGCTCATGTCAATAGATATAAACAATTCACCAAAGTTTTATGAAAATTGGTTAAAGCTTTTTTGAGTTAATGTCCGACATGTTGACGACGGATGGACGGACGGATGGACAGAGGTATACCATAATACATCCCGTAAACGGGCGTATAAAAATGCTTATTTTTGGCCCCTTTTTGGACCCTTATTCCTTAACGTTTCGGGCAATTACCCCCAAACTCAATTCCAGCTTTCCCTTTGTGATAGTGAACCTTGTAGTACAATTTCAGAAAGATCCATAGACTCACACACAAGTTATTGTCATGAAACTAGAAAAATGCTTGTTTTTTGCCCCCTAATTCCTAAAATTTTGAGGCAATTACCCCCAAAATCAATCCCAGCATTCCCTTTGTGATATTGAACCTTGTGGTACAATGTCAGAGAGATCCATACACAAACACACAAGTTTTGTCTGGAAGTTACAATAAAAATGCTTATTTTTGGCCCCTAATTCCTTAACTGTTGGTACCATAACCCCCAAAATCAATCCCAACCTTCCTTTTGTGGTATTGAACCTTATGGTAAAATTTCATAGAGATCCATTCAATAAAACTAAAGTTAGAGTGCAAAAACCAATTTGTCTTCGACGACGACGTCATACCAATATACTACTGCAAAATTTTCTTGCGGTCGTATAAAAATCTAAATATATATATATGTATAAACAAGTCTAAATTGAAAACAACGTTCGTTCAAACCTATGATTGCGTTGGATAAAAACTGCAGTTTTTATACATGAGCATGCAAAACAAATTTCTTGGTAAAAGGATCTAAATACAGCACAAACAAAATTTTCCAAAAGACCAAAAAAGTGACAAAGTATATTTTAACAAAACGCATTTGACTAGCAGGTCGAACAAAGGATGTTCTTAAACCCTGCTGACTTCCATTGGCGATTGCCAAATAAAATGATCACCAGATGTAACAAAATGGATCTTAAATATTAACTTAATATCATACAGAAAACAATCAACTTGCAGAAAAGATGGTATACCGCAAACAAGAGGTGCAAAAATTAGTACACCATATCCGGATTTCGACAATTAATGTCTCTTCAGTGATGTAAGGAATCAAAAGGTATTTGGAAGGCCATATAATTTACCTCAATTTAGGATAAATTCTTGAATTTTGAAGAGTTGAAATAGGATGAACGGATCATATAAACCCGATGGCAAATATAATACAAGCCCAAACGAAAACAATATAAACAAGTCTTAATTGAAAACAACGTTCAAACCTATGATTGCGTTGGATAAAAACCGCAATTTTTATATATGTGCATGCAAAACAAATTTCTTGGTAAAGGGGTCTAAATACAGCACAAACAACATTTTGTAAAAGACCAAAAAAGTGAAGTATATTTTAACAAAACGCATTTGACTAGCAGGTCGAACAACGGATGTTCTTAAACCCTGCTGACTGCCAAATAAAATGATCACCCAATGTAACAAAATGGATCTTAAATATTAATTTAATATCAAACAGAAAACAATAAACTTGGGGAAAAGATGGTATACTGCAAACAAGAAGTGCAAAAATTAGTACACCGTACCCGGATTTCGACAATTAATGTCTCTTCAGTGATATTAGGAATCAAAACAGTATTTGGACATATATATACAATTACTCTAAATATCAGCACAACAATATTAAATCTGCTTCCGCAAATTTTTGTTCTTCCCTCACCTGGATTCGAATATATATATTTACATCAAGATTTCAAATGAAATTGGATACCCTGCATTTATCATGCTTTTCAATAACATATGGTCAAAATCGCTGAAAGACCCCCCTCCTAAATTATTGTAAACTATCATTCTGCATTGACTATAATATCTTGGTGTAAACAAGATACACCCATTCTGGCCAACGCCCTCAAGGTGTAACCACTACATATTTAGGCCTAATAGATTTAATAACCAAACAATGTCATAGTTATTTCCACTCTTGAAATCTTCTGTACACACAATTTTTTTCTTTTCTCGTAGATGAACTATGTATATATATCCATATATATACTTACCGAGAGCACTTTGATAATTCATATTGTTGCTTATTAATGCTTGCCCGGCCTCATCTTTCTGTTAAAAATAAAACAAAAAAAAATATTAAGCTGAACAAGTAAGACAAAGTTGGAAAGAAATGTACCATCTGCTTTTATGACCAACTTCTTTAGATTAACTATATGTTGGATTGTATTCAAAGAAGATATGAAATAAATATATAAAAGTTTGATGAATGTCCTACTTAGGCTGTTCCATAATAACATACATGGGACCCAGGGAAGACACTATGAAATCGCAACTATGGGTGGATGTTAAAATTATTTTGAACCATGAAAATGTAAAGAGAAATTCTAAATTCCTCTATAGTTGGTTACTCAATTTTCAAAGTGCCTTCCCTGGGTACCATGTATGTTTAAATGGAACAGCCCTTATTCAAACAACAGTATTAATGGGTCATTTTTACTTTCATTGGCCTATTAATATTGTTTTGATTTAAGGGTGGTACTATTTAAACATCACTATTAAATCTGGACGTTACCAATAGAAGTAAAGGATTTTGAACACATTCATATTAAATGCCAAGATTTTTGTAAAAAATAAAAAGAAACAGCAAATTTTTGGCTCTATATCAGATGTATACAAAGTGTTTGTTATGTTCACATCAAAGTGTCCCTAGGTAAAGAGAATAATGAATATAAGTGGTTAGACAGGAAGATGCTCAACATACAAATTTCTTTCAATCACAGGGAAATAAATTTAAAACTGAACATTTGCCACCTTTTCCAATCATAGGGTCAAAATTATTTCTGCATTTTACATCATTTATAAAGGAGTAGGACTTATTTATTTAATGCCAACTGGAATAGATAGTTAGATATACATGATGTTTATGAACATTGTGAATTGAGTACATGTGTATATTTGATTTTGCAATTTTTTTTCTATATTTCACTGGAAATGCCAATTTATATATTAAAGACATAGTTTGGAAATGTTTATTTTTGGTAATTAAAGCCAGATGGGTATATTTTTGTGTTTCTTAATATAAAATGGAATGGGTAAGGGCATCAAGAGCATGCCAACTTTCCATTTTCGGCAGGCTGGTAAACTGACACTACTAAACATATATTAGGGCTGCTACTTTCAAATGCCTTCCTGCATAACTACACATACAGTACAAACTATAATTGTAGTGCTTACAATTAAAAATTATAAGTCATGTATACATCAGCAATAAAACTTTCAAAACCAAATTATTTATATTTCTTTACATTGGACTGCTTATTAATTTAATATTATTTATTTGTAAAATGTTTGGCCATAGGCCAGTTGATCTTAAGGCAAAAATCAATCAACTTTATAAAAGTGTTTCAAGTATGCTGTTTTCTTTTCAGTTATTTTTGGAAGAATGTCAAGTTTACATGCCATGTAACACAATGTTTATTTAGAATGTTTCGTCACTACCTCCTAAACATATATATATATAATTAATCAATGAGAAACTGGACGTCACTAAAAATAAAACTTTTTTTTTAAAAAGATATTAAAGAATATATTAAATTAAAAAGAAGCAATCAATTATCAAGCAATGCGAGATATCAAAAAGTATAAAAATATTTATTTATTTACAACCTCAGACACCAGACATTGGATCCCACAATTTAGCTTATCAATGATACCTAGTTACTTTAATATAACTGTTGACACAGAGATATGACAGGATTGCAAATAATTTTGATAGTATATATGTTGAAATTAAAATGGCAATATTTCAACATGTAAAATAATGCAAAACATTCAAGGTCAATAAACCATGACTGAAGGTGCAGGGACAGATAATCTCCCTGGAAATGCCAATGCAAATACAACGGCATACCAAATATCATTGACTTATCAAAGTGGTTCCCCTTAAAATTATCTAAACAAAAACTAACATGTTAACTATGTAAAGTTTCAAAGTCAATGAACATCTACTGCAAGACATAAATCACTATATTTGTTATCTGATCTGATTTACTTAAGGCAAAGAAAACCAAAAATGGGCAATATTTCAGGATTAATGAAATTTAGTTTCCTTTTTTAACAAACTGCTTGAACTGCACCTGAATATTGTAGTAACTGTTGGCACGGAAATGTCTCACCTGTATGTAATTTTGATAGTATAATGCGAAATGTTGGAACTAAATTGCAATACTTTTACATGCAAACCATACAAATTTAAGGAACCACATCTGAAGATGCAGGGTGAAAGTCAAAAGATCATAACAAATATGATCCACTTAACATTAGTGGTTTCCCTCAAACTGACATAATCAAACATTTACATAACAACAGAGTAAAATTTTCAAAGTCAATAGACAAAATGAATGAAAAATTTGAGAGAGTTTTATAAATGGAATAGAATGCAAGTTAAAAGCAGCAAAAATATGCAATTATGATCAGTACCTGAGTTTATAATTCTAAAATAATGGATAACTTTACTTTCAGCATGCTAAAAAATACAAACTTTTAAAACAACTTATGATCCTATTCAGAAAGTTAGATGTTGTGTATCAGTGAACATTACCTGAAAACCAAGCTCCATTAGCTGCTGAATCATACGACTCCTCATCTGAGGCTGATTTCCACCTGGAAATCGGCTAGCACCACCCTAAAAATAAATAACACAAGTCATTCCATATCAAATCACATCACATCACAACAAACAATCTTTTGACAAACAAGCTACAGTATCTCTTCCTTAACCTTTGTTTACCTTGATCAAAGTTTTCTTTCCCCTAATCCAACCAGAGGCACTGCTCCAAGTAGAATTATTTTCTTGGGTTTCATCCATCCACGTTCCCATGTCTGTATCTTCCCAATTACTACTCTTGTCCTCATTCCAGAACATGTCATCCTGCAACAAGACACCAATCCATCAGGACCCTGCGAGAATCAGCATCAACCTCTCAGGCCCTTCCCTAGCTGAAAATCCTCCCTTATGAAATAATACCATTTATCTGTGCAAATACTGTCAACCTTATTAACTATAAAATTCCAAACTTAAAATCCACTATCTTATTCATCTTTATAATCCCAACACCCATAAATGGAGAATACAATTCTTAGTCCAACTTAACCCCAAGTTATTTTTTTAAAAAACAACAAACAAAAGTAAAGATGGGCCCTTAAAAAAATCCAAAAACTATTAAGCCAGCAAAGTCAAAATTTGTCATGTGACAATGTCAGCATTTGAGATAAAATATTCCCAACAAGGTTTTATTCTTTAACAGTTGAACAGTTTACAATGAACCAAATATATATGATGTTTTCAACAACAAAAAAGACAACCCTAAAAACAATGAAAGCATTGTACAAATTTCACTACTTTAAATCATCGTGATATCCTTTAGAGTTTCAAGGATTTGTGTATCTATCTCTTAGTGATGAAACTATTTTATTTTAAAGTACCATATAACTCAATTTGGACTCTGAGAGCCATACAACAGACATATATTGACTTGCAAGTATGTACTGATTATTTCTGTATTGTACTTTTATAGACAAACAGTGTTTCCCCTTCTCATGCCAACTAAGAGCAAAAAAAAAAGGAGGAAAAAAAAGAGAGAAGATTTTACCAATAATAAATTATGTGATGTAAAAAAATTCAATTGATGCTTAAACTTAAATTGTGAAATGAACATACCGAAAAGCTAGTTACAAGAATGTCATGAATTTTGTAAAGTAAAAAAAAATCACCTACCTACCTTTCAAATGTCAAAAATGAATTATAAAATATGACCCAATTTGACTTCAATAAAAATTATACTTTGTAAAAAAGTTAATTCATAATTTCAAATTTGATGCATTTTCATATCTTCTCTTAAAACCAACAACAAACAGACCACTTTGGTTACTAAAATTACTGTCTAAACAGCAAATGATTTCACTATCACCAAAATACCATAATGAAAAAAATGTGCCTGAATGATATTTATTTTGTGCTGATTTTTGTTATGAACTGAACATTATTCTGTGAAAAACTAAAATAGAAATAAGGTGTTAGTGAAAAAAATTCCTGCATCTTATATTAAATTATTACACTGCAATTAATAAAGAAAATATATATGCACCACCATCTCAGCATGTTCCCAACTAAAATCAAAAATATGTTATCTATCTCAGTGCACAACCCATCTTAAAGTTATGGAAAAAAAACAATGTGGAGACTGCAGCTTGTTTGTCAACAATTATGTAAAAAAACAACAACAAACATGTAGATTAATAATCATGCATCCTCCTCCCCTGGGGAATCAACATTGGTCTGAGATCCTCATAATGGTTTTAAATAGGGAGTTTGACTATGAGGAACTCTGAAGGCTTGTGACTCATGCAAATACTGGCTGTGATCTTACCTTATTATAATCAGACGTATTCCAAATCATGTCGGCCTCACCCCAGTTGAAGGTACATTTTGGGTTGGGTCCCTGTTCAGGTGGGCGATTCCAATACCTGTCCCCATCTGGCCCCAAGTGGGAGGAGGAGACTGTACCCACACCAACAACAGGGTTTCCCAGCCTTACCTTGACACTGGGGTCCTCAGACCATGAAGGTGTCTTTGGTTTTTGGCCTACAGCTGCTGAATTCCACTGATTATTTGTTTCTCCCCAACCAGCTGCCTGAGCCTGCAACAAAGTTAATAATTACTGAAATGTATAAATATTGTCTAGGTTCTACCAGCTATAACAGGACTTTTCAATACTACAATGTACATAAAATTTTACATTTTGATAGTAGACTTTTCTATCAAAATAAGACAGAAAAATCACCGTGCAACATGCTATGCTTTTGATCTTTTCCCTTAGCACAGGCAAAGTCAGTTAAAAATAAATTGGAGATATGTCCATGGGACACAGATGATGCCCCAGCTTGCATATAACATTATAAAGGAACATAACTCAAGAACTGTAAAAGTGATGATACTCAAATTTGTACTTGATCTGAGTTTTGTGGTAATAAGCATTGTTTATAAGTTCCATAACATTTGGTTGAGGCAAACTTAAGTTAGAGAACAGAAACGAAAAATTCAGCATTTTTTCCATTTGTACAGGGGCATAACTCTTGAACAGCAAAAGGGACACCACCATAATTCGAATTTAAATCTGTGTTTTGTGGAATTTAGCATTGTGCATAAGTTTCATAACATTTGGTTGAGGCAAACTAAAGTTAGAGAACAGAAACGAATATTTCAGCAATTTTTCCATTTGTAAAGGGGCATGACTCTAGAACGGAAAAAGTGACACCACCAAAATTCAAACTTGATCTGTGTTTTGTGGTAATAAGCATTGTGTTTAAGTTTCATAACATTTGGTTCAGACAAACTTAAGTTTAGAGAATAGAAACCAATTTTGGGACGTACGGAAGGACAGACAAGGGTAAAACTTAATGCCCCCTCCACTACGGTGGGGCATAAAAACTTTTATCAATGTATGTATTACCGTCAGTTCATGGAATACATATCAAAAGTATGACATAATAATTTTTCATGTGTTCTGAACAAATGCATTGCTCCTGATTCCCTAATGGTTTAATACCTTGATTGGCTTCAATAACTTAAGTTCTAGTTCTAGAGAGTTTAAAACAGGATGGATAAAAAAAAACAATCAGCTGTTTCAATTTTCTTTTTTTGGAAACCGTGTGTCAAGTCAGCCAAACTTAATCTATGTCATCATGTAGTATTTTGATTTTTTTTTTTAAATGCAATATTGATTACTCACCTTTTATCTGAATAACAAAAATCAACAAACATGTTATTACAAAACTGTTACCCTTGTAGCATTCAAGCCTTCAAGTATAAATAAACTTTTGAGTATCAACAAGAGCGGTTAGTTATTGTAGATGATACCAATTTGAAAAAAAACAAGCATTCTGAGAGTATTGCATGGTAATACATAGTCCCCTACCGCTTAAAAATTCATTGTACTGGAACAAAATGCTAACTTGTTCTATAATTTGTCATGGTGTAAACTATACAACAAATACCATATCAATATCTTCAAGCATGACGAAAAAAAGTGTGGAAACTGATTATTTGAGTGAATTTTCTAAGTCCAAGGACCATAACTCTGCACAAAATCATTGGACCGGAAAAAAATTCAAACCTGATCTGTAACTTGTCATCATAAAACTCTATACCAATTATCAAATCAATATCTTCAAGCATGACGAAAAAAGTGTGGAAAACTGATTATTTGAGTGAATTTTCCAAGTCCAAGGACCATAACTCTGCACAAAATCATCAGACCGGAACACATTCAAAATTGACCTGTAAATTGTCATGATAAAACAATATACCAAATATCGAATCAATATCTTCAAGCACGAAGAAAAAAAGTGCGGAAAACTTATTTCCAGGTCTGACGGATGAACAGACAGACAGACGGAGTGCAAACCGAAAGTCCCCTTAGACTTTGTCGGTAGGGGACTAATAAGCCTAGGTCAGCCTACAGAAGACTCATCCACATTGTATTGCATGGTTTGAATCAACTTGTGCTGGTGTATTTGTTTTAACATTTGGACAGTTCACACCAATCTATCATCAAAATCATATATTTGTTTAAAATCACATTTTTATTAGGGTTTAAAACATACATTTTTTTTTTCAGTATAAAGATACTCATTTAACTTTCAAAGATACCCAAATATAGATTGATTTAGAATATTCTATGCAGTCACTACCAAAATAAAGAAAGATGACTAGTGGTAAAACACACCTGTTTTGGAGAACCAGCAGCCCAAAGACATGTACCATCATCCACTTTTGCAGGTGGAGGAGGTGGTTGTCCCCATCCAGGTGGCTGTGTTGGTGGTGGTGGCGGTGGTGGTGCTTGGTTCCAGTTTGGGGGATTGTTAGGTGGTTGGTTCCAATTTGTCGGTTTACCTCCTGGATTTCCCCAAAGCGCTGTACCATCATTTACTTCTTGTTTGCCAGCTTCTCCATACTGACCTGAACGTTCACTTGGCCAAGAACCAGTTTCTGTTTTCCCACCCCACTGACTTGAGGTTGTATCATTAGGATTTGTCCATGTGTTTGGATCCTTTGCCTGAGGATCCTCCCACTGAGCAGAATTTCCTGCTGGGGCACTTGTCCATGAACTGGTTTGTTGGGGTTCTTTTGTAGATTCCCAAATACCAGTTCCATTATTATTATTCCACATATTGCTGTTATTATTGTTTGGGTTTGCTGCTGCAGCAGGTTTTTCTGGATTTACTGTTGGTACTGTTGCTGGGAACTTTCTTTTTGCTTTTGGGGTGGTTTCCATTTCCCATGCTGTATCTTGACGAACTGGTTTCTGACCCCAACCATCATGACTATCGATGGCTACACGATAATCACTAGGAACATCTGACTGTGATATGCTTTGAGATTGTGCATTTTGATTTGACACTGGATTGGAGGGACTAGTAGAAAGGCCTTTACCGGCAGCCTGAGCCCATGACGTAGGTTGAGGTTGGAGACCTTGTGTTGAATCTGGTGGCCACTGTTGTTTTGTAGAAGCCATGGATGTTGGAACAGTGCTTTCACCCCAACTTGAAACACTATTTGCCGAAATCGGAGTGGGTGGAGGATTAACTGGCCATCCAACTTCGGACATCATTTCTGGTTTTTGATGAGCACTATTGCCATTGCCCTTACCTGCTATATCACTGGGTATAGTTCCGACTGCACCCCATGAATCACCTACAGGCTTGAACGCTGAAGTATTTGCACCATAAGAAGCCTGATTAGAGACGGAATGAGACGATTGCATACTTTCTGCTGCTGACTGCTGTATTTGCACTGAATTTTGTGGCCTATTCCCTCCCAGATTTTGTCCAAGTCCCTGGGGGAGGGTTCCAGGGACATTTCCCCAACCTCTAGAAGGATCACTAGAACCAGCTATACTAGTTATTCCTTGCATATTATTTGAAAGACTTTGAGGATATGAGGAGCCCCAAGTGGAGCTGTTCGGATTTGTATCCCAAGTGTTCGATTCAAGTCCATTGAGAGAGTTGCCCCAAAGGGCAGTGTGGTCCTGACTGGACGATGATATCACAGATCCTGATTTGGCGGAGGCACTATCTTCACCGTTGTCTGAAGTTGTTTCGGAATTGTCACCTCCAATGGAAGGCCAAGCCTCCTTGTCATTCCGATCTACAATAACACTTGGTTTCCAATCTCCTGCTGGTCCTTGCCATGAACTTAATTCAGCATTGGCAGCAGCTAGAGCACCTAAAAATGAATACAAAACAGTTTATGAACACTTCTACATCAATATGTGTCTTCCTTATATAGACATTATATATAATACAAAACTTTATCATGAAATGTTCAATTTGGTAATATGTAAACAGTTAACATCAGACACAGATAGACAAATATTTCACATCTGATAGATTATGAATCTATCTAAAACAGCTGGTATAAGAATGCAACTTATATATAAACCCTCTAGAGGCGAAAGAAACTTTTTTTTTTTAAACAACAAAAGAAACTTAACATTAAGCACACCACTCTTCTGTTTAAATGACTAACATCACTTGAAGTATCAAGGATTTTTTCCAATCAACCTTTTCAAAAATTAAACCTGGATTTAGCATTCAGAATAATCTGCACAATATATAATTTTCTTGATATATATATGTTCGCCATTTTCAAAGCAACAGTCAAATCCTCACATGATATATCATCAAACTTGTACATATGTATCTAACTGAGCTAATCAGTCCTTGCTCTTATTCCTAAAAGCTTCTGGGTAATTACAGAAGCAGTAGATACAATTTTAGTCTTTTTCTTTTACCAGAACAAACATTTTGTAATAATATTGAAAAAAAACTTTCATTGTACCACTCCTGCACATGACACTTTTAAACACTGATGAAAGTTATAAAAATATTTTTCAAATCCTAAGTATAGTATACACAGGGTGATTCTGTAAAAAAAATTTCCCTTACTCTTATAGAATGAACCACAGATTGCTGGTGAGCTAATGGGATAACAATCGGATATACAACATTTAATAGACCACGTATTGAATATGCAGTTTAATCACTCAAAATCACAAGCATTGACTTAGAAAAATGACTGATTCATTTTTACTGTAAATTTTGCTGATCATTGTCAACTGATTAAGTGCTGTTCAATTGAAACTAAAACGGAGGGCAGAAAAGCAAATTGAAAATGGTGAAAACCAACTACAGTTTTCAAATTTCACTTTCATTAAACTGTCCAAACAAAAATAAACACCCATCCAGAGTTATTTCCATGTGATGGGGCGTTTCTAGGATATTTGAAAGAGGGGGCCCGCCCCTGGCGTGCCTACCCTGTGTCCAATATATATTTCTATAGAAAATTCCATAAAATGATTGTCTTAGCTTGACTTTTCATGCACATATTTTAATCTTCTTTTTCTTTTCCTTTATAACCAAATTCTCTAATTTGAACATATGACTAAACCATTTTTTCTTAAAACCATCAGTGTCTTTGTGCAGTTCAATCTAAACATACAACTAAGAAAATTTATGGCACAGTTACCCATCCATCCACTGCCCACACCAGGTGGTCCTACACCCCATCCCCCATCATCTTCATCAACACCGGCTCCAGGAATGGGGCCACTGTTCCCCCATCCACTGTTCACTTGATTATTCATATTGACTGGTTTAGCAGCTGAAATTAAATGTTAAATTTGTTAATCATACTTAATGAGATTTCAACATCAAATCACAAAACCCAAGTATTCAACTTCAAAACAAGACAACTTCGTTGTTTTTGTTGTTGGGTTACTATCTCATTGACTTAAACCACAGTGACACACATTTTTTTTCATTTGAGAGATTGTGCAATAAAATATGGTCTTATCATTTAAATTTCATTTACTGAAAAAAGCTGCAAAAGTTAATTGCTTTTCATTCCCAAACAGAACCATATATTGATTAATATAAATATGCAATCTTTCTAGACTTAAGCAGGAAAAACTGTCTTTAAAAATGATCTAATTACTTTCTCTGTAAGATTTTTTTGGTAACCTAAATAGATTGGTAGGGCTGGAAAAGACTTATTCAGTCTACACCTACACTTCCCAACATGCTTTATAAGCTAATCTTACCTTGCTGCATTTTGTCCTTTGGCACAAATAAATCTTAAAACAATTCAAACTTCACTTAAAACAGCACTTTTTGTTCTGGATTAACCTAAAATAAATAAATATTATCAGCAATCTTTAGGCTTTTTGAAAAATAAAACTGAAACGTTTACATATTATTTATTTATTATGTCAAGTTATCAATCTTAAATGTATTGAACTATAAATGTTTTACTTTTCTCTGTTATACCCCCATCCCAAATAAAAGGTGAATAAACCACTTATTCTCCTTTATTTTTTGTCATTTCAAAATGTGTAAAAATATACGCAAATTTCATCCATGTGGTCTTATTAAATTTTTGTTGCTATTCTTTACAAATTTTGATATCCAAAATTATGAAATTCAGGGAGTATTTGTTGAAAAATTTCCTGTCTTGTGAATTGTTTATCACCACAAATGTAACCTCATCTCAAGACTTGTTTGAAATTAGCTTTGAGTTTAAGCCAAATTTACTTCTTATCAATTCAGCCAAGGATATAAATTTGTAATATAGGTTCAACATTTGTCATGAAAAAGTCTCCTAAAATAAATATGAAAGGTGTAATCCGACCACCATTTTATTTTCTAGTGGAGGTTGGGAAATACATATCCTAGCCTGGTAAGTATATAATTGTGTTTTAAATTGACAGTACATTTTCGCTCAAAATAAATGTCTAGCAACAGGTAATAAAATGCTTCGCTGGGGCGCAGCTTGATACGACCGCAGAGGTCGAACCCTGAACAGTTGGGGCAAGTATGGACACAAAATTCAAGCTTGATACAGCTATGACTTTGGATTGTCATTAAATATTTGACACAGCATAGGTTTCTGACACAGGATGAATGTGGTGTAAGAACTGGAAAAAATTTAATTTACCTATTATGGTGGAATCTCCATAAACTAAATTGTTTGTTAATTTCAATATATCAAAGAATATGTAGAATTCAATGTTTGATGTAATGTAATAAAGTTGAAATTTGGACCGTTTTTGTTCAATGTGGACCAATTTGGTAACATGTATAAATAATCAAAAATCTAAATACATGGGAGCCCATTTAAATACATCATAAAGGTATTACAATAGAAAGTGACATCATAGTCATGGCTAAAAATAAACAAAAATCCTTAATCAGCAACATTTAAAGTAATATCTAATAAAATGCTTCGCTGGGGCGCAGCTTGATACGACCGCAGAGGTCGAACCCTGAACAGTTGGGGCAAGTATGGACACAAAATTCAAGCTTGATACAGCTATGACTTTGGATTGTCATTAAATATTTGACACAGCATAGGTTTCTGACACAGGATGAATGTGGTGTAAGAACTGGAAAAAATTTAATTTACCTATTATGGTGGAATATCCATAAACTAAATTGTTTATTAATTTCAATATATCAAAGAATATGTAGAATTCAATGTTTGATGTAATGTAATAAAGTTGAAATTTGGACCGTTTTTGTTCAATGTGGACCAATTTGGTAACATGTATAAATAACCAAAAATCTAAATACATGGGAGCCCATTTAAATACATCATAAAGGTATTAAAATAGAAAGTGACATCATAGTCATGGCTAAAAATAAACAAAAATCCTTAATCAGCAACATTTAAAGTAATATCTAAAAATAAAATTCCTTTGTAACCATAAAAGCCCATTTAAATACATCATAAAGATATTAAAATAGAAAATGACATCATAGTCATGGCTAAACATAGCAAAAAACCCTTAATCAGCATCATTTAACAGTAATATCTAAAAATGGAAATTACATCATAAAGGTATTAAAATAGAAAATGACATCATAGTCATGGCTAAAAATAAACAAAATCCGTAATCAGCATCAGCAACATTTTATAGTAATATCTAAAAATAAAATTCCTTTGTAACCATAAAAGCCCATTTAAATACATCATAACAGATATTAAAATAGAAAATGACATCATAGTCATGGCTAAACATAGCAAAAACCTTAATCAGCATCATTTAACAGTAATATCTAAAAATAAAAATTTCTTTGCAACCATAAAAGTAAAATAGATAAAATGCTTCGCTGGGGCGCAGCTTGATACGACCGCAGAGGTCGAACCCTGAACAGTTGGGGCAAGTATGGACACAAAATTCAAGCTTGATACAGCTATGACTTTGGATTGTCATTACATATTTGACACAGCATAGGTTTCTGACACAGGATGAATGTGGTGTAAGAACTGGAAAAAATTTAATTTACCTATTATGGTGGAATATCCATAAACTAAATTGTTTGTTAATTACAATATATCAAAGAATATGTAGAATTCAATGTTTGATGTAATGTAATAAAGTTGAAATTTGGACCGTTTTTGTTCAATGTGGACCAATTTGGTAACATGTATAAATAATCAAAAATCTAAATACATGGGAGCCCATTTAAATACATCATTAAGGTATTAAAATAGAAAGTGACATCATAGTCATGGCTAAAAATAAACAAAAATCTTTAATCAGCAACATTTAAAGTAATATCTAAAAATAAAATTCCTTTGTAACCATAAAAGCCCATTTAAATACATCATAAAGATATTAAAATAGAAAATGACATCCTAGTCATGGCTAAACATAGCTAAAAACCCTTAATCAGCATCATTTAACAGTAATATCTAAAAATGGAAATTACATCATAAAGCTATTAAAATAGAAAATGACATCATAGTCATGGCTAAAAATAAACAAAATCCTTAATCAGCATCAGCAACATTTTATAGTAATATCTAAAAAAAAAATTCCTTTGTAACCATAAAAGCCCATTTAAATACATCATAACAGATATTAAAATAGAAAATGACATCATAGTCATGGCTAAACATAGCAAAAACCTTAATCAGCATCATTTAACAGTAATATCTAAAAATAAAAATTTCTTTGCAACCATAAAAGTAAAATAGAAAATGACATCATAATCATAGCTAAAAATAAACAAAATTTTTTTTTATTGGCAAACTTTAAATGGAGTTTATTATACTAAAACAATAAATTTGCAACCATAAACATGATAAAACCCCATTTAAACACATCATAAAAGTATTAAATAATTCAACTACATCATAAGGCTATAAAAATAGAAGATGACTTCATAGTCAAGGCTAAAGGTAAACAAAAAACCTTCATCAGCAAAATTTTATATTGGCAAATTTCCAATGAAGTTTATTACACTAAAATTGTTGGCAAATTTCCAATGCATTTATTAACAATAAAGTTATTGGCAAATTTCCAATTTACATAATTTAAAAGCAGTGTAGATGAGATATTTAAATGAGTTTGAATTACCAACCTTACACTGCTTTTAAATAATGTTCTTTACTCAATTATTTGTCTATTAAAATGGAAACCCTTGTTTTTTAACCTTTTTTCCCCTTATTCCTTAAACATTAGAGCCATAACCACCCCTTATTACTAAACGTTTTGGGCAATTACCACAACACTCAATTCCAGCTTTCCCTTTGTGAAATGGAACCTTGTAGTAAAATTTCAGAAAGATCCATACACTTACACACAAGTTATTGTCATGAAACTAGAAAAATGCTTGTTTTTTGCCCCCTTTTGGCCCCTTATTCCTAAAATTTTGAGGCAATTAACCCCAAAATCAATCCCAGCATTGACCCTTTGTGATATGGAATCTTGTGGTACAATGTCAAAGAGATCCATATGCTAACACACAAGTTATGTCTGGAAGTTACAAAAATGCTTATTTTCGGCCCCTTTTTGGCCCCTAATTCCTTAACTGTTGGTACCATAACCCCCAAAATCAATCCCCACCTTCCTATTGTGGTATTGAACCTTATGGTGAAATTTCATAGAGATCCATTCACTTAAACTAAAGTTAGAGTGCGAAAACCATTGTGTATTCGGACGACAACGACGCCGGACGACGACGACGACGCCAACGTCATACCAATATACGACCTCAAAATTTTTTTGCGGTCGTATAAAAATCTAAATACATGTTTAGATTCAGCATATCAAAGAACCTCATATATTCAATTTTTGCTAAAATCAAACAAAGTTTAATTTTGGACCCTTTGGACATTAATGTAGACCAATTTGAAAACTGGACCCAAAATTAAAAATCTAAATACACTGTTAGATTCGGCATAACAAATAAATAAATGTGATCAAAGATTTTACAAATCTAATGCGCCATACTGTGCAATTAAAGATTACTTCTTGAAATTTTTCAATATTTGAAATTTGAAAAAAAAATAATACTTGAAGAATAATTCTTTTTAATTTCTGAAATCTGAAATGAGAAAAAATTGGCCCCCCACAATTTCTTTTTATCCCCCCCCCCCCCCCCTTTTTCCCCCAAAAAAATTCTTTCCCTCAAGATATGGTCATAATCTCATTTCAAATTTCCAATGGAGTTGGCAACCATCATTACCCATTTAAATTTACCATAGTGCTAACTTAATCTATTTTATAATAGAATTAATAAAAATATAGTGTCAAATCTTTCATATGGATTTTTTTGTAAAAAAAAAAGATGAAAACATTTGCAGATATTTTTACTGGTCTTCCTTTATAAATATGCATTTCTTTAAACATAATTTAAAAGCAGTGTAAGGGAAGTAACCAAAACGTTGTATTTGGATTACCTCCCTTACATTGTTTTAGATTATCTTTATTGTTCATTAACCATTACTTTATACATAATTTAAAAGCAGTGTAAGGGAGATAATTTCAATGATGTATTTGATTTATCTCCCTTACACTGCTTTAAATTATGTTTTGTACTAAAGTATTTGTCCATTAACCAGGACAACCTTGTTTTTCCCCCTTTTTTGCCCCTAATTCCTAAACAGTTTGAGCCATAACCCCTCAAAGCAAATCCTAACCATCCCTTTGTGGTATGGAAACTTGTAGTATAATTTCAGAGAGATCCATACACCGTTCCACAGTTATTGTCTGGAAACTAGAAAATGCTCATTTTTGGCCCCTTTTTGGCCCCTAATTCCTTAACTGTTGGTACCATAACCCCCAAAATCAATCCCAACCTTCCTTTTGTGGTATTTAACCTTATGGTCAAATTTCAAAAAGATCCATTCACTTAAACTAAAGTTAGAGTGCGAAAACCAATATGTATTCGGACGACGACGCCGGACGACGACGACGACGACGACGACGCCGGACGACGACGACGACGACGACGACGACGCCAACGTCATACCAATATACGACCACAAAATTTTTTTGCGGTCGTATAAAAATGACATCATAATCATAGCTAAAAATAAACAAAAATTTTTTTTATTGGCAAATTTTAAATGGAGTTTATTATACTAAAACAATAAATTTGCAACCATAAACATGATAAAACCCCATTTAAACACATCATAAAAGTATTAAATAATTCAACTACATCATAAGGCTATAAAAATAGAAAATGACTTCATAGTCAAGGCTAAAGGTAAACAAAAAACCTTCATCAGCAAAATTTTATATTGGCAAATTTCCAATGAAGTTTATTACACTAAAATTGTTGGCAAATTTCCAATGCATTTATTAACAATAAAGTTATTGGCAAATTTCCAATTTACATAATTTAAAAGCAGTGTAGATGAGATATTTAAATGAGTTTGAATTACCAACCTTACACTGCTTTTAAATAATGTTCTTTACTCAATTATTTGTCTATTAAAATGGAAACCCTTGTTTTTTAACCTTTTTTCCCCTTATTCCTTAAACATTAGAGCCATAACCCCCCCCCCCCCCCCCCCCCCCCCACCAAAGCCAATTATTACTTTCCAATGTAACCTAAATTTCCAATATACATAATTTTAAATTTCAGTTCCTCATGATATATAACCGTATCATTATTATTTTCTTTCATATATAAATCTGAAACAACCATCTTTAAATGGAAAATTTTAAAGAAAAAAAAAGGAAAAAAAAAAATCCTACCCCCCACACATTTTTTCAACCCCCTTTTGATTCATCATCCCCCACCTCAATCACAACCTTCAATTTGTGGTATGGTACATTGCAATACAATTTCACAGAGATCCATACACTTGAACACAAGTTTTTGTTGCAAACTAAAAAAATCCTTATTTTCGACCAATATTTGGCCCCTTATTCATAAATGTTTGAGCAATTAACCCCAAAACTCAATTCCTACTTTCTCTTCGTGATAAAAAATAACTAACTTAAAATGTAAATTTTAAACAAAAAAAAAAGGAAAAAAAAAAATTACCCCTTTTTTGACCCCGCCCCCCTTATGATTCATCACCCCCACCCCCCTTTCCCCCCAAAACCAAGCTCAATAACAGCCTTGCCTTTGTGGTATGGTACCTTGTAATACAATTTTAGAGAGATCCATACACTTGAACACAAGTTATTGTCTAGAAACTAAAAAATGCTTATTTTAAACCCCTTTTTAGGCCCCTTATTACTAAACGTTTTGGGCAATTACCACAACACTCAATTCCAGCTTTCCCTTTGTGAAATGGAACCTTGTAGTAAAATTTCAGAAAGATCCATACACTTACACACAAGTTATTGTCATGAAACTAGAAAAATGCTTGTTTTTTGCCCCCTTTTGGCCCCTTATTCCTAAAATTTTGAGGCAATTAACCCCAAAATCAATCCCAGCATTGACCCTTAGTGATATGGAATCTTGTGGTACAATGTCAAAGAGATCCATATGCTAACACACAAGTTATGTCTGGAAGTTACAAAAATGCTTATTTTCGGCCCCTTTTTGGCCCCTAATTCCTTAACTGTTGGTACCATAACCCCTAAAATCAATCCCCACCTTCCTATTGTGGTATTGAACCTTATGGTAAAATTTCATAGAGATCCATTCACTTAAACTAAAGTTAGAGTGCGAAAACCATTGTGTATTCGGACGACGACGCCGGACGACGACGACGACGACGCCAATGTCATACCAATATACGACCTCAAAATTTTTTTGCGGTCGTATAAAAATAAAATTCCTTTGTAACCATAAAAGCCCATTTAAATACATCATAAAGATATTAAAATAGAAAATGACATCATAGTCATGGCTAAACATAGCAAAAAACCCTTAATCAGCATCATTTAACAGTAATATCTAAAAATGGAAATTACATCATAAAGGTATTAAAATAGAAAATGACATCATAGTCATGGCTAAAAATAAACAAAATCCTTAATCAGCATCAGCAACATTTTATAGTAATATCTAAAAATAAAATTCCTTTGTAACCATAAAAGCCCATTTAAATACATCATAACAGATATTAAAATAGAAAATGACATCATAGTCATGGCTAAACATAGCAAAAACCTTAATCAGCATCATTTAACAGTAATATCTAAAAATAAAAATTTCTTTGCAACCATAAAAGTAAAATAGAAAATGACATCATAATCATAGCTAAAAATAAACAAAATTTTTTTTTATTGGCAAATTTTAAATGGAGTTTATTATACTAAAACAATAAATTTGCAACCATAAACATGATAAAACCCCATTTAAACATATCATAAAAGTATTAAATAATTCTACTACATCATAAGGCTATAAAAATAGAAAATGACTTCATAGTCAAGGCTAAAGGTAAACAAAAAACCTTCATCAGCAAAATTTTATATTGGCAAATTTCCAATGAAGTTTATTACACTAAAATTATTGGCAACTTTCCAATGCATTTATTAACAATAAAGTTATTGGCAAATTTCCAATTTACATAATTTAAAAGCAGTGTAGATGAGATATTTAAATGAGTTTGAATTACCAACCTTACACTGCTTTTAAATAATGTTCTTTACTCAATTATTTGTCTATTAAAATGGAAACCCTTGTTTTTTAACCTTTTTTCCCCTTATTCCTTAAACATTAGAGCACACTAAAAAAATCCTTATTTTCGACCAATATTTGGCCCCTTATTCATAAATGTTTGAGCAGTTAACCCCAAAACTCAATTCCTACTTTCTCTTCGTGATAAAAAATAACTAACTTAAAATGTAAATTTTAAACAAAAAAAAAAGGAAAAAAAAAAATTACCCCTTTTTTGACCCCCGCCCCCCTTATGATTCATCACCCCCCACCCCCCTTTCCCCCCAAACCAAGCTCAATAACAGCCTTGCCTTTGTGGTATGGTACCTTGTAATACAATTTTAGAGAGATCCATACACTTGAACACAAGTTATTGTCTAGAAACTAAAAAATGCTTATTTTAAACCCCTTTTTAGGCCCCTTATTACTAAACGTTTTGGGCAATTACCACAACACTCAATTCCAGCTTTCCCTTTGTGAAATGGAACCTTGTAGTAAAATTTCAGAAAGATCCATACACTTACACACAAGTTATTGTCATGAAACTAGAATAAAATGCTTCGCTGGGGCGCAGCTTGATACGACCGCAGAGGTCGAACCCTGAACAGTTGGGGCAAGTAT